TTTATTCATTTATTTTACTCTAGTTAAGATTTAAGTTTATTTCAAGTAGCATAAATGTTTTTATGGTTTAAGTTAACTTTAATAACCATGGACTTTGTACATATATGAAAATAATAAATGAACATTGTACACTTGTCATTTTAATACATTAAAGTGATTGAGTTGTTATTCTCTGATAATCTTGATCATTTGTGTGCTCATGTTCTTATTGGTCAGATTCTGCAGTTTTTAAAATGTCGTAGAGCACAAAGGAGTATTCTCACGCCGTTAAAAGGACCCAAAGGACTGACTGACAGTAGAAGAACGGAGCTCAGGCAACACATACAGGAGCACATCTCTCTACATCCTGTGAGTCACCTTGAAGAAATGAAATTTTGTGTTCTCTTGGTATTTTATGCCTTGGAGTTAAAGCATCAATTAAGCTGTATCCAAATATAGCCATATAATGTTCATTTTAAAAGTTTCTTTTCTAAATGGTGTTTTTTTCTGTTGTGCAGTCATCAGTGACGTCAGCAGAGGGCAGTGTGGAGCTCCATCAGAGAGCACAGAGTCTCCTGCACCAGCACCTGATCAACAGAGGGTCTGATCGAGCACAGGAGCAGCACAGGCAGGCTCTACTTGCGCAGATCAACACAGACTTGGAGCTTTTACTAAGTACGTACATAAATCTATAGCTGATCTACTGATGTGAAGCATGATTTCGGGAATTCTGCAAAGCGGAACATATCCAAATACTGTATGTGAGCGCAAAAGCTTCTACTGTAGCTGTGCAAGCCTGATTTCAGATGTGGCTACATTTGCAAATTTGCATAGATTATGTATCTGGTGCAATACCTCTATATTGCATGTGTCACACATTTTTAAATCTCGCATTTCTGACTTGATTTCTCACAACTGCAAGTTTATAATGCAATTCTGTCTTTATAACTTGCAATTGCGAGTTTATATCTTGCAGTTCTGAGAAAAAAGTAAGAATTGTGAGAGAAGAATTCGCGATTTACCTTGTTTTATGTTTTATTCAGTGGCAGAAACAGGCTTCCATAGAAAAATTTTATGCAGCAAACATGCACTTGTAAATGTGAAACGGTGGATCGACAAGAAGCTAATGCATTATAAAAATCAAAACAATTAAGACGCTAAGACATATTTATGTTATTAAATTAATATAATAATTGATTGATAATTGTTTAAAATAATGTGGTAATTGATACTTTTGAGTCATTGCTTTTCTTAAAAAATGGTTTAAAATATGAAATGTGAAGTTTATCATTTTATAAAACTTTGTTTTTGTGAAAACCTCAGTCTGAACTGTAAATCATGCATTTTATAATCATTTCACTGTATTTATTTTAATATGTTACCATAGACATCGCCCCACCCTGCTTGTATGGTATTTATTAAAAATCTTACATTTGATTTTAAAAATCCTTCAGATACTCTTATAACTCCATTGTGCATCTTTAAATAAATATTCCTCTTTGTAGTTATACCAAACCCAAAAACTATTGAGTAGAAATTGTGAGTAAAAATTTTTTTTTTTAAATCCTTATCCAATAAATCATGAACAACTGGAAATGTTATGGAGCATCTGAATATTATTGTGGACACTGAGAACCACCAATCTAAAATCACTCATTTGTTTGTTCATTTTAGATGCGCCGTCGCTGAAGGATGCCAGAGCGGAGGATGTGAATCTGTTCCTGAGCCGCTCCTGCCCTGTGGCCACACGCGCCCGTCAATCCCACAATGCCTTGATGCAGAGCATGCGTCTCCCGTGGTGGAGGATGCTTGGAGAGGAGATCTCCAGCCCAGAGGAGCCTCCCAGGAAAGACTATGACATGGACATTGAGTCGCTGTATCTAGGTGGCAACTAACAGATGATGGAACTCAGACTTTATTTGCAATATATTGTTCATATCAACATGAAATGATGGTACATTTAAACAGGTTTTATGTCAAGTTAGGGCTTCCAATGTGATTTAAGAGCAATACGATTACAAATAACAGAACAAATACAGTTAAGCTTGAGTCCTTTAGCTACATTAATACCAAAAATTATTTTATGTCCTCTAACAGAATGTTATATATTTTAAATGTTTCTTATTAAAGGAACAGTTCACTTAAAAAAATCTAAATTCTGTTATTTACCTCATGTTATTCCAAGCCTGTATGACTGACTTTTTTTCTGCAAAAACCAAAAGAAGATTTTTTGAAGAATATTGGTACACCACTGGAAAACAAAAACAGACTTTTCTTTAAAATTTAGAAGGACTTGAGGGTAAGTACATTTCAATTTTTTGGGTGAACTGTCCTTTAAAAAAAACCAGCAAAACAATACAAGTACTGTCTTGTACATACGTTCTTGTCTTTTTTATTATTAAACATGTCAGGTAAATAGTGCACTAGCAGTCAGGTTCAAGATTATTGTAGTCACCTTTTTCACATCATATTAAGTGCTAGTTATTTTTATGTATTTATTTTTAGGTCTTTGGGGTCGTATATCATCTGTGGAATTTGGTTGTTTTTTAATCCAGGTACTCTTAATTAATTTTTTATATTTTCAACATTTTAAAGGCTTAAAATACGATGTGTCATTGCAGACCAAAAATAAGTACTAATATGAAAATATAAGAGAAATAGAAAATATAAGAGATCAGTGGATTAAGAAAATAAAATTCAGAAAAATTTTTTGGTCCTTTCTGAAGCTGTTTAGACACTGTGTATGTGTCTGTTTAGAGGTGTGTGTGTGTGTGTGTGTGTGTGTGAGAGAGAGTCTGCTGCATGCCCATAGTGGCCTAAACATGCCAAGGGCCCCATTCACTGGACAGCCGTCATTATTTTTTACACTCGTGTGAAAACAATAGAGTGGTCCACTCCACCGGCACGATTAAAATAACATTTTCAAGAGCGGAAAAATATGATATTTATTTTTAGGTCTTTGGGGTCGTATATCAGCTATGGAATTTGGTTGTTTTTTAATCCAGGTACTCTTAATTAATTTTTTATATTTTCAACATTTTTAAAGGCTTAAAATACGATGTGTCATTGCAGACCAAAAATAAGTACTAATATGAAAATATAAGAGAAATAGAAAATATAAGAGATCAGTGGATTAAGAAAATAAAATTCAGAAAAATTTTTTGGTCCTTTCTGAAGCTGTTTAGACACTGTGTATGTGTCTGTTTAGAGGTGTGTGTGTGTGTGTGTGTGTGTGTGAGAGAGAGTCTGCTGCATGCCCATAGTGGCCTAAACATGCCAAGGGCCCCATTCACTGGACAGCCGTCATTATTTTTTACACTCGTGTGAAAACAATAGAGTGGTCCACTCCACCGGCACGATTAAAATAACATTTTCAAGAGCGGAAAAATATGATGGGGGAATAATTGTCTTCTCTTTATGCAGCGTTTTAAAACTGCGAGTAAGTGAGGCCTGCTTTTGGAGGAAGCAGAGCTGTGTGTGTAGTTGTGTGAATGCAACTGTAATGTGTTTGTGTTTCTGCCTGTGAAAGTGTGAATGCAATGAATATGTAAGTGTGTGTGTGTGTGATAGAGAGAGAGACAGAAAAAGAGATTGAATGAATGAATGTGTTTGCTGTTGTGGAGGTAAAAAGTCCAGGTAAAAGCGAAATCACTGAGCCTGCCAAAACACTGCCTTGTTCCACAAGCCAAAGTGGTTTAATTGATTAACTAACCATTTATGCTGGGGCCTAATTGTAGAGTTTTACCACAGTTGTAGTTGTATTAAGCTTTCTCTCGGAGTCACTCCAGTCAGATGTTCTGTGTTCAGATAACAGCTTTGAACTTTTGACCAGACTGTACAAAAAAGGACTGTGAAAAGAAATAAGAATATAAGATAAAGGAACGAGTTTCTGTTACATGTATAATACCCTTCAAAAGTTTGGGGTCGGTACGTTTTTTTTTTTTAAACAAAATTAATACTTGTGATAGTAACAGCATTTATAATGTTAAAAAGGATTTCTATTTTAATTAAATGCTGTTCTTTTGAACTTTCTATTTAATCAAAGAATCCTGAAAAAATATATCCCCATTTCCATGAAAATGCAAGAACATTGGGTTTTCAACATTGATGATAATCAGAAATGTTTCTAGCATATTAGAAGGATTTCTGAAGGATCATGTGACACTGAAAACTGGAGTAATGATGCTGAAAATCCAGCTTTACCATTACAGGAATAAATTAGATTTTAAATTATATTACAATAGAAAACAGTTAATTTAAATAATAATATTTCATAATTATACAGTTTTTACTGTATTTTCATCAAATAAATGCAGCCTTGGTTTGCAAAAGAGAGTTTAAAATCTCAAAAAACATTAAAAATAATCTTACCGACCCCAAACTTTTGAATGCTAATGTACATTTATAGTTATAGGACAGATGTTTTTATGCAAATGACATGTTTTTAATCACTATGTGTGTTCTCTGGGAATTGAACCCATGACCTCTGTGCTGCTGTTAGATGATCATTGACTTTGACGACAACATTCACACAAAAGCTGTGCTCAGATCCATTGCAATGACTTGTAATATACCAAAATACAATATTACGACAACTTTACAACACACTGAAAGCACAAAAAGTTTCCCTTTTTCTACCATAAAAGATAAAAGATTGCCCTGTCCGGATTTGTGATCTTATGGACTATGCTTTTTCTTTTCTTACAGAGACCATTTGTTTTTCTTCTAGGATCCTTAGAATTCCAGTTTGGCAGAACCCTTTGAAAATTTGGTAGATTCCTCAAATATCCTATTCTTTACTCCAGGGAAATCAAGTACATCAACTTTTTTCTTATGATGGGGTTACTGGAGGAACTCCTGACAGTAGAGTTCCTATTCCAACAAAGCTATTAAGCGTAGATTTCAGATAAATTGCTGATGGAGTCATTTGGGACAGGACCATTGACACGTCAGAACCAGCTGTACACTCATAATCTTCAAAGACCATGTACACCTCTTTCTTTGCTAATTAATGAGAACACTCAAAATGAGTGGGTGGAGACAGAAGGCCAGCTCACCCCGCCTACCCTACTGTGATTGGCTTGATCTACACCACCCTCAGAGCTGGTTGGTCCGTGGCCTTGCAGCAAAGAGCAGGGTGATGTTACGGTGGAGCCTCCATCTGCGGGCTCCTCCTGGCTGTGTGTGGCGCTCACAATGCCCCCCGGAGGACTGGATGATACAGTGCAGCTGCTCACAGTCCACAGGCATGGATACTGACTGAAAATCACATGAGCTTGTTTACTTATTTACATCACCTTATTGTTGCATATATTGTCATATTGTGTAAGACTTAAAAGTCAGTTTTCTTTCTGACCTGCTGACTCCAGGAGAGCTTGGAGCAGGTTGCATAGACAGCATCGCAGCAGGACCAGAAGGAGACACACCTGTCCATCCCTCATGACCAGAGAACATCTGCACAGCACCTGGACTCAGATTCTCAGATAGAGACACTTCAAGGAAAAATGAGAAAACTGAAGTGAGTTAACAAAGAAAAAAACTGACAACTAGAAAAACTCGCAGTGATACGATATGTAACATATTTGTCAGTTTGGAGCTTGAGTATGGATCCCCATTTACTTTTATTATACAGAAATTAATGGCTGGTACATTTTTAAACATTTCTCCTTTTGTTTTACACGGGAGGAGGAAAGTCCTACAAGTTTGAAACATGATGGTGAGTGAACAATTACTTGATTTTGATTTTTAGATTAATTATTCCCTTAATACAGGGGTTCCCATTTTTTTGTCAGACAAACCCATTGAACATAAAATACTTGGAAGTAATCCCAGTATTTTAAGATAATATTTGAATAATTTATAGACACATTTGTACATTTATGGTTCAATGATGACTGTTAATGGTCACATGACATGCAAGTAAACATAAAATATTTTTTGTTTTTTTTTATTGTTTTAGTTAATAATAATAATAATAATTATTATTATTAGTTTAAACTAATTATAAAAAATGAAGAAATATATTACTGTTATAAATTACAATTGTGCTGCAAAGTACAAAAAAAATAATTTGATAATTATAACAATCATTTTATTTTACACTGCAAGTTACAATACTAATACTTATGTTTTAAATTCTTCTATTTCAAATTTTGAAATCCTTAAGCTTTTATTTTGGTGAAATACCGGTGAAATGCAGTAAACGTCCATCCACAAAAATGTTGAAAATTATGCAAACGTGAATATAAAAGAGAATCTAGTGCATACTGCGTTCACAAATGCATTAAACTCACAGCACATGCAGAAATAGCGTTTGTGAGAAGCCGCCTTTACTGTGAACCCAAAATTCAGTTTTATTAATTATTAGCTTTTCATCAGCATACAAACCCCCTGCATTTCCTTCATGAACCCTCATTTGGGAAACCCTGTCTTTATACAAAAAGCATGATTGTCTGTAATTACAGACATGAATAACTGTACCTGAGTTATGGCCACGGTGGTGATGATGGCGGGGCAGGTAGGGCGATGGGTACGGGGCTGCTCGGTGCCCATGCAGGCCTGGGTAGTGTTTGTACCCATGGTGGGGAGTAAGCGGTAAACCTCCTGGGTACGGAAAGTTACCACCACTAGCAGAACACAGAGTGTCTGGATTTGATATGAACCATCCGCCTGCAACCAACAAACAGACATCAATATGATTCACATAACAAAATGCTGTAAATATTTCTTAAATACGTCTATAAATCAGACAAAAACAGGAAAATGAATGACTAACAGTGCGGTATGCCCATATGCTGGTTTTCAGCTGGCAGTTCGAGATGATTCTTAGGATGGCTCCTATGGAGAGAAAAGGCTTCATGCATGAGACAAACCTCAAATATAGAACTAATATATCATAATGGTTAATAAAACACATAAATTATAGCACTATTGTTCAAGTTTGGGTTGGTAAGATTTTTTCATGTTAAGTCTTTTATGCTCACGTAACAAATTTCCTCCTGTGATGCAAAGCTGGATTTTCAGCATCATTACTCCAGTCTTCAGTGTCACAAGATCCTTCAGAAATCATTCTAACATGCTGATTTGCTGCTCAGGAAATATTTCTTATTGTTATTTGTTGAAAACAGCTGTGTTGCTTATTTTTGTGAAAACTGATACATTTTTCTTTCACAGAATTCTTTGATGATGAATCATTAGAAACTGATATTTTTAGTAACAATCTAAATATCTTTACTGTCACAATTTTTTTTAAAGCATGTGTGCATTTATGGATGTATGCATTAATGCAAGTATTAAAAATACTGCATGGTATAGTGTATGCAAAGAGTACTTACATTATCATGAGTCTGTTTTTGACTTTTTTTCACTATTTATATTCTTTTTAGGCAAATCATGTGACACCTGTCAGGTTTTTATTGGATGTACATCCTTTCACAGGTAAATATTTCATAATCTCTCATACTTCTACTCTTATCATGACATATCACTTTTAATTTCATCACATGCATTTTCTAATAATTTGATTAAATTTAGTATTCATATTTCACTGGTGTATGGACTGTGCTGTAAAAAAAGCCTTTAAAAAAAAAGCCTTTAATTTCTGTTAATTTAATCTTTCTTTTCCAATTGTCATGAATATAATGTAACAATGCAAAATACTACGGTCCTAAAATATGCATGAATTATTTATGCATATTATACCATTTTCTTTATGCAAAATATAATTTCTTTGGCCATACTTTATTAAGGTCCAATTCTCATTATTAACTGTCTATTAAGTATAGCATTAGCCTCAATAAACTCTTAATTTGCTGCTTATTAATAATAGTTTGTAAGGTAGTTGTTAAGTTTAGCTATGGGCTTGGATTAAGGGATGTAAAATATGGTCATGCAGAATAAGGTATTAATGTGTGCTTTAGAAGTATTAATAAACAGCCAATAAGCTAGTAATATGCATGCTGTTAAGCAAGTTAACAGTGAGAAATGGTCCCTAAACTAAAGTGTTACCATTTTTGGGGGGGTTACACTCTAAAAAATGCTGGGTTACATATAACCCAGTGCTGGGTTAAAAAGGGACAAACCCAGCTATTGGGTTGTTCAAAACAACCCAATAGCTGGGTCAAAACAACCCAACCGGTGGGTCAAAACAACCCAACAGCTGGGTCAAAACAACCCAATAGCTGGGTCAAAACAACCCAATAGCTGGGTTTGTCCCTTTTTAACCCAGCATTTTTTAGAGTGTAAACATGTTCATGAGATTCACTCTTATTAGTTTAAATTTACACTGTACAGTCTACAGTCTCACTTGAGTAGTGTTGTACCTCTGCTCTGGTGAAGTTATGACTGGAGAATAGTAATTCAGCACTCATACCACCAACATTATTGTGTAATATCTCACACATTCTTCACTGTAGCCGCTCGAAATCTCTCACTCTCACTTCACACTGCCTCTCCAACAAGCTCCTTTACTCACACACTCACTCGATTCAAAGCATAAATGTTTAATAATTGGTCGTTAATCATGGCTGATTTCGCACAGTCATGCTAGCTTGACTAGTGCTAATGCCCGCTATGATAGTATTATGAGTTGAAATACGCATCGTTAACTCGATGAGTAAACTTATCTTCTGACGCTGGCGATGTTTGTTGTGTAATGTCATTTAAATGAATTGTACCTTTCCTTTGCATCAAGGAAAGCTTTGGCAAACGGATTGTGCTTTATCTTCAGTGCAGTTATCTGTGAAAGGAAGAAGCATAGAGGATTGTGAAGATAAAATCTCAAATAGTTTTATCAACTATTTTATAGTCATTATATTTTACAATTAGCAAAATATAAGCAATCTTCTTTTTAATGGTACAGTTCACCCAGCAAGTTTTACTATTGAATAACACATTTTTCTGTCATATGACTTTAGAAGACTTTTATACAGTGCACAAGTTGTATAAATTACATTTTGGAGCTTGATTATTCACTTTCATTGCATGGAAAGGAGCAGCATGAACATCAACAACACTTTTCAAGGTCAACAGTAGTAAGAAATGTGACCTGTTTTTTGGAACAACATGAGTGTGATTTCTTTAGACATGTTTAACCTAAATGTTTTGTGAAGATCCTCTAACCTCTTCATTCTGGTAGGCCGTTACAGCGATGAACTGAGTGTCTGTGAAAGAGATGTTGGTCACCATCCTGTGGCTGCCTCCTACACGAACAATATGAATCTGAGGCTCGTACTTATGGAGAGAATTCAGCATGATCTGGACCAGGTAAACCAAGAAAAGGAAAGTAAGAAAGATTTTTTTTTGTCTTTTTACAGAAGATTACTTTTATAAGATCTATATAACACACCGACTTTAAAAATCCAGGTTCATACTGTACTAGCACATATTTTAAAAGAATTTCAAACAGGTATCAAACAGGATGCAAAACTGCAAAGAGGGTTTGAATATAAAGAAGAATTAACAACACAGAATGACATCCTTAGCATTTCAAACAACTGTTGTAAATGGCTATAATAATACATTTCATTTTTCAGTTATGAGTTACCCATAAATCCACACACATTACATATCACATATTTGACATATAATATGTGCATTTAATATATTTTAAAGTGTAATTTATTCCTGTGATGGTAAAGCTGAATTTTCAGCATCATTACTTCAATCTTCAGTGTCACATGATCCTTCAGAAATCATTCTAATATGCTGATTTGGTGCTCAAGAAACGTTTTTATTAGATTAAAATTTTAATGTCAAATTAGTAGTTTAATGTCTAATTTTAATTATTCTAATTATAATGTCAACATCTTTGTATAAAGTTACCTGACATGGTGGCTATTTTGCAGTGCTTTATGGCAAAATTAAAACTGTTTTGATGGCTGTGTTAATTATTTTGACAGTACTGAACTTGGATATTTCACCCCAAAATTAAAACGTTACCATTAATTTACTCTCAAGTTGTTCCTAACCTGTATGCCTTCACACAAATGCTGACCAGAAAAAGAAGATATTCTTCAGAATGTTGGTAACTAAACAGCTGACGGTAGCCATTGACTTCCATAGTATTTTTTTTCCATACTATGGAAGTCAATGGGTACCATCAACTCTTAGGTTACCATCATTCTTTAAAACATCTTCTTTTGTGTTCAACAGCTGAAAGAACATCATACAGGTTTTGAATAACTTGAGGGTGAGTAAATGATGAGAGGATTTAAATTTGGGGGTGAACTATCCTACTATCCTACTCAGATGAGAAGAAATGTAGACTATTTTATCAATACATAATTATTTATGTCATAAAACTGTGGGATTAGAACTTCCAAGTCATCAGCTGAAAATTCGGACAGTATCACCATACTGTATATTGTTCGGTCTTTACATTTAGATACTGCATTGTCTTTGTTTCTGTGTGAAAAAATTCTTCGGATGACTGCAGTGACCATGAAAAAAATCTATGGACTGAATTCTGAGAAAGAGACGGATGGAACGAGAGAGAAAAGCAGCATTTTTTTTTACTCTAATTGGTAGATTACAATGACTGATGAGGGGCAGGTACGCATCTGCATGGCTACAGGGGACATAAAGGGCTTTGTGTGCTTTTCTCTCCCCGCTGCCTTTTTTTTTTTTAATATGTTGCCTTTTTGAACATCTAAGGACTGATGGCTAAATTAATTTTGCATAGAAAAAACAGAGGTAATTACCATAATGTACAACTAACCACAGCAATTATTTCATTTAGAGCTGGTTCTCTCTCGTCGTCCTCTCCGCTGCCAGCTCTGCGTTTAAAAACCCCGGTAAATAGGGAACCGACAGGAATAGAGGAGAAGAGGATGGGTGGCGGGGAGGGCGCAGGGGAGGGGTCATGTAAATACCAATAATAATTTGGTGGCGGAGTCATACTCGAATGGAGCGGGCTGGAGCACCTCGCAGCGGCCCCGCTGAAAGCCAGGATGGCTAGCTGAAGTAGACCACTCTCTGTCTGAACGGCAGGAAGTGCATTAAACGAGAAAAGTGGCAATTAAGAGCTGTTTATTCCTGTTTACATGCAGTCCCTGCTGAACAAAGGGGCTCCATAGGTGAAGTGGATGCAGAGGAGCGCACTAATTGTATAAATGCACACTTGAAATTTCCCTGTGACAGCGCACAGGGTGATTAAAGGCAGGCCAAGACTCCTAAAAGCTACAGAAGCCTGTTTTGGACACACAAGAGCCCAGAGAGGCTACTCAAGATTACGGCACGGGTCACGCACGGCATTACACACCTGCACAACACGAGCGTTACATGTGCATAGGGCCTTTGTTTTCTCAGACTTTTTACAGGGAATGATTTAGTTGAGAAATTGGCCGAAGAAAGTGCAGTGGGAACTTCTGTGTGTTTTTGTATGTGTCAGCACCTGACAGATAGATAACTGGACCATAGGGACATAATTTGATTTTTTTTAATGAGAACACTTCTAAAAAAATTAACACCAAAACTACAACTGACAAATTAATAAACATTTTCATAAGGAGTAAGACTAACACAATTGTTTTTAAAGTTTAGATTCAAACTATCACATTGACATTTTTTCGTTTCTCTCAAGAAACGATATTACAGTCCATTTTATGTTTACACTGGCTCCTAAAAGTTTTAAGATACCCAAGTAACATTTAAAATGCTTGAATGTCATTGCATTGACATCTGCAACCCCTTTTTTTTCCCATGACAAACTTTTCCGAGCCATTTTTGAAAGATCGAATTGAAGCAGGTGTTTTTTTGTTTAGTATAAATATTGTTTAATCACTTAAAAACCTAATAGGCTATCTTTTGTCGAACGTTTTGATTTAAAGTGTTTGTTATCTTGCTTTAAAGTAAATGTCACTTGATTTGATATTTTGTTAAATAATGCAAACACATTATAATGAATCATAGCCTACATGACTTCAGTGTCCAAATACTTTTTGGGGGACATTTTATGTACATGTGTTAAAAAATATCTAAAAATTGTTTTAAGACGCGAATGTCATACTTATTTCTTTACTAATCTTTATACTAATTATACTAATTTTCTGACACAACAGAATTAAATACTATATAATTATAACCACATGTTCTTTAATGTATAAACAATAAGAACTTGTAATTTACTTGAATGTAAGAATTTGAACGTAATTTGTGAAAAATAAATCCGTAAGTTCGAGTAAACGTCACGAACCTGTTTTCTAGCAGCTTCTGTGCAAAACAAATGTTATTAATTAATATTAACGAACACCATTGCTTTATCAAGACTTTTACAACTTTGGCATCTGGTTCATGGTGGCTCACCTGCCGTTCTTGGTCACAATCATCTCATTGGTCACTTCTTTGAATTTCCTCCAGAGTTCGGAATCTTCCAGGGTGACTTTGAGCTGTTTCTCAGTGGGGTCTCCCTTCTCTCGGCCGGCCTGTAACTCGCTCTCCACGACGCTCAGCAGTCTGGTGATGCAGCAGTCGTTGCTGCCCCGAGCACCGGTCACCGCTCCGCCGCCGCCCCTCAGCTCTTCCTCCACCTTCATGAGTGACGGGCAAATCTCACACGCGCTTGACAAGTACTAAAGAACTGGAGTTTAACTTTAGCTTTCTAGAATTTATGAGAAGATTTAGACGTAACGTTGTGCCTAACACAACTTTTGGACGGCTTCAATCATAAAAGAAAAACGACTCTCTTTAGTATACTAGCAGTGTGTATGTTTGATCTGTACCTTCAGCTCTCTGCGACCACCTGTTCTTATGACCGGAGGATAAACGTGCAGTCACGTGGGCTTCTCCAATTAAGTGATTCATTCACAACCCATTGTTTTCCGTTCAAAACCCACTTTAATGTTCTACATTCAAGTTTATTTTCAGTCTTCACGTTTATATTTAGGAAATATTATGCTGTTTAAATAATAGGAAAAACCTGGGTAGAAAGGTCAAAGGAAACTTACAGGCATTACACTTCAGAGAGAAAAATAAACGTATGATAAACGCTACCTTAACTCAAGCAAAGGAATGAAAAACATGATGGAAAATCACGCTCCGGTTTTGTTTTATGCATATAGGCTACTGCAAATATATAAATTACTTCTGATGTTCTTCTGCTTTTTCAGAACCATGGACAGCTCGTAATTTGTGTGCGTGTATAAAATGTATCAAAATTGTAAATGTATCAACGACGTGATGTAGTTATTTAAAAATACATAACACTTAAAAAAAAAAAAAAAAAAAAGAGACGCGAGTACAGCTTCTTTAAGTATGTTTCCAATTTCTTGAAAAAGTTATTTGGATTTTTTTTGCGGCTTAAAACTGTCAGGAGAAAAAAGTTTTATTTAAAACATCTTGAATGACTGTCAAATAACTAGAATACGCAAGAAACTTTTTTTTTTTTTTTTTGGTCATCTGACGATAGAACCATAGAACACAAAGCACCCCTTCTGAATGTGTATCTTTTAGATTTTCAAAAATAGTCTATCACATATTTGTGCCTTTTATTAAAACGGACGTCTTGCTCGGGTCAAACGGAAATACTGGTATAGTCATGACATACTTAATTTAACGTAAAAACTGTATTAAATAGGCTATTTTTCAATAATTGAATGCAAAGACATCTAAGCACATGAGTTTTAAACTTTCAATTTCGGACATTCTTATTTGTCATTGACCCATATTTAAAGCTTAAAACAGACCAGAGCATTCACAATATCACACACACACACATCAGAGCATTCACAATATCACTATATATATATATACTGGTCTGTTTTAAGCTTTAAATATGGGTCGATGACAAATAAGAATGTCCGAAATTGAACGTTTAAAACTTATATATATACATTTGAACTCTACAACAAGGCTAAATCCACATATTTCCTTTTAAATTAACGATGGAGCTGTTATTTGTATACGTGATGCTTTAAACCACATTTGGCTTACTGAAGTCGGACTGGTATGAAGCATCAGAAGATCAACTGTGATTCACAAGATGGACTCATATGTGAGGGCGTAAATAAGGGCATACTGTCAAAGAGCTTTAGTATTGTGGAAGCCATGTGGAGCAGAAATCAAATACTGGATGTTCTCTGCAGCGGGCGAGAATGAACGGAAACTCGATCCAGCGACCGGCGCTCTAATCACCGAGCCACGCGCATGGAGATTAGAGGATTCAAAGAGTTTAAATCCGGAAAAAAAGAGTCTCATTAGCGGAGAATCCTCCGGAATATCAAACATCAGCAAACCAACCTTCCCTGACCTTTCACTAGCAGAGATGACTTACGCACACCAGTCAACTCATAAAAGTCTTATTATTGAGACTCACAGATGCATTGTGGGACGGGGCTTCTTAAATGACAGCACGTAAGTACTTATTTATTTACAATAGGATGCACTCACATGAAAATGTAAGTAAAACTAGAATTAGAGAAGAGAAATTGATTCACGTAGACTGAATGAATCTGAATAACTTTTAATAGCAACGATTGTTATAATGTCCATACAGTAGCAGTAACAATTCTTAAACACCTCAGATATAAATTGTTTTCATAGAAATAATGCAAATCTATATAATGAAACAAACATGGGCAATTAATCAACATGATGTAGGGAAAATTTCAATTTCAGTCATGATAAAATAATTCTGGAATGTATATTTCAGTCAGAAAAATATTTTTATACATATCAATAAAATGAATCTCTGCAGTAAATATATTAGCAGACAGTTTAAAAGACAACAAGGAGGAAAACTACCACTGTCATTTTTGAAATTAATACAGTTAAAAGGAAATGTGTCTGACATGATTTGAAAATATAAGGACAGGCATATGAAACATTAATCAGAAAAAGCCACATAATTTTGCTCCTAAATGCAAAGAAAGAAATAGAGTTGTTTGAAGACAAATGGACCATAAAGATATACATTGGTTTAATATTTGACTTATCTAATAAGATAACAATAAGTAATAAGACATTTCTGTCATCCTTTTACTAACCTATAATAGATAACTTCTGAACTAAAATATAATTGGATCAATTATTTAGAAAGCCCTTCATCATTGTCTTGTTCTAGCAAAAAAAAAAAAAAAAAACCTAAATACTAAAAAAACTGCAAACACTGGTTACATTTCTACCCAATCTAGTCCTTAAGTAATCCTTGGATGACGGCAGAGAGGAAGGCACGTAGGAACAAATTAAGCAATTACACAGCAGTTAAATGTAAAATAAGCTGCTCCATCTTGCTGCACAAAACATGTCACTATAGGGCACTGTCCGAAACTCAACCAGATTTTTTCATCCTTCATATTTTCCTACTTGAATGTAAAGCACAGGTGTGTGTGTGTGTGTGTGTGTGTGTGTGTGTGTGTGTGTGTGAG